ACAGGATATAAATGCTGGAAGTTTAGCGGAAAAGTACCTGATTTTAGTTGCTTTTGTGTTATGGCCATTCTTCCATGCATCTGCTTTAGCTTTCTCCCCACCTTTTAGCCATATCTGGTTTTGTGTTGCTGCAATAAAAACAGCATATTTGTGTGTTCATGAGATGCCAGTTTAAGGGTACCTTTAAAGACACTTGTCAGGGCACTTGTAAAAACTAAATCAACAGTTGTCCATTCTTCAGTTCTCTAGTGTTCTGCTCAAACAGGCTATATAGATAAAATTCCAGTGTACAATGCAGCTTTTAGCGCATTCAGCTTAGGTTGGGGAACCTTTAGCCCTCCAGAAATTGTTGGACCGCAACTCTCATAATCCCTGACCACTGGTTATGATGGTTGATAGGAACTGGAATCCAGCATCCAGAGGACTACAGATTCCCCAACCCGGTTCTACCTTTTTACCCATCCGAATTCTCAGAACTTCATTCTTCAGCAATGTTCCTTGATCCAGTACCCAAAAGTTGATGTCATTTTGTTCCTTGATATTAAACTCAATGACAGCATGCTCTCTCATTGCTGATGGTAGCACCCTGCAGGCCCAGACTGTACTGATAGAACCCATTAACACAACAGTTCAGGGCAGATGAAGTTGCTAATGGATAAACATAGATAACATTTTAAGAAATTGTCAGCATGAGTTTGGGGCAAGTAGGTAGTGTTTTTAATGCTTTAAAATACATAAATGTGAAATGTGTATTCAGGACATTTTTACACATGACACAGACAGTGCCTTACAGGCTCTCCTTGTGGTATTTGTGTGCATGTGCATACATAAAGCAGAAAAGAAGCATCTTAAATTTATTTTGCTCTTTAGCTAGCATTGTTTTTATGTACACATTACGGATCTGGGAAATGTGAAAGGCACTTTCAGTGTCAACTACAAAAGCTTCCCGAGTGTTTTTCATAATACTTGGACTGTAAAGGGATTAACATACATCAAGATAATGAGGAGAAGAATGCTTTTCTTCACAATTGCAATTTAGAACATTTTGCCATGGTATGTAGTGAATCTGAGGCAGGCAGCTTGTGATCTTCCAGATATTACGGCCTACAACCCCCATCAGTCCTAGCCAGTATAGCCAATGGGGAGGGATCCTGGTCTGGATAAGTCTGTGCATTCTCCCAAGCATTAGAATACCTGACTTTGAAGAGTGCTTTGCATATTTGCATTGATATGACAGAACAACTTGTTCCAGGGACATGTTTCCAGAGGCGGCTTCTGCTGCAGTAGTCTGAGTTACGAGCTTTGTGGTCTGTGTGGTCAAATAAACTGTCAGATGAGCTGATAACTTGGAAGTCATGAAAAAAGAATTCTGCTTCTTTACATTGAGAGACTGATCCAGATGCACAGAAAGGGGCTGGAACGCTGTGAATGATTCCTTTTGAAGCTAATCCTGTGTTGTGTTCTTGAAAGCTGCACTATTCCCTTCTGAGATCCAAACAGTGATCAAGTGAATAGTTACAGGATGTTCATATTGATTATGTTACATCAGAAGGATATGTTTTCCAGACAGTTCACAACGAGTCTTGCTCGCTTCCATGGGGATTGTATAATATGCACCAAACCACACAATGTGGAAAGCTGAAAATACATTATTGCAAGTAAAAATACACATTACTAGCTGTAGATTTGTGGTAATATTTGGCAGGTTTAGCACCAAATCTGGTGGACTTTGGGCAAAAATCCAGCTCCTTGTGAACCTAGCCTTAACTCATATTGAGTGAGCATTGCTGTACCTTGTGGTAGAACCCCATTCCTGCTCTCCTTTGTACGTTTGCCTTTATCTCAGCCTTCACTAGCTAATGTCCTCCAGATCATTTCAATTAGCATTCCTGGGACTCCTGACCAATGGCCATGCTGGCTATGGTTGATGAGGTTGAAGTCCATAGTATCTGGAGGGCATCATCTTGGAGAAGGCTTCCATAGCCTCACAGTTGAAGATGCTGAAACCTCCCACATGGGTAGGGTGAGATACAATTTTCTTTTATACCCAGTAGGATGCAGGAGGCAACAGTGGCTTGATCAGTATACTTTAAACAGGGTTTGCTTTCAGGCAGTCCCCAAATTTATTTGGAATTCAGGAATTCTTCCTCTGCTTGCCTTTCAGATTCACTTTTGAGATTTTCTCTTAGGTTAGGGGTGGAGAACCTCTGGCCCTCCAGGTGTTGTTGAACTACAACTTCCATCATTTCTGGCCTTGAAGAGCCACAAATTCCCTACTCATGTTTGTGGGTGATGTTTACCTGTCCAGTATACAACTATTTTGACTGTTTCTAACCTTGGTTTCTGATTTTTATTATTGCAGTTATAATGTCCTTCCTCTGCTCTCTGGTTTTTGTTGCACATACAGAGCAGTTATTGTAAGCTGCTTTAAACACATTTTGGAAAATCACCACTTTTTAAAGTCGGTGAACACAAGCCAGTTCAGAAGTTATTTTTAGTTACTTTCTTTCATTATAAGAGCAATCTACTCCTGGAAAGAAAGAAAAGTGAAATCTGGTAGATTTCATATGTAGCAGCTTCCACAATCTATGTTTCAGGAGAGGTGGGAAGACAGAACTTGTGTCCTTCCCACTGCAGCATTCATAATAAATATTTATTATCTTGAAAAATCCACCAAGTAGCTATCCACATGAACACGCACAGAGAGAGAGAGCGAGAGCGAGAGAGGGAGCGAGCCCTGTTACCACTAATTTCCTGGGATGTTAGACTTTGGGAAACTATGAATAAGAAAACTGTGATCTTCCAGTTGTTGCTGGACTCTAAATCCCATTAGACCCAGCCAATATAACCAGTGGTCAGAGTTGACCAAGTCCAACAACATCTAGAGACCAGAGTTTTCCCGCTGTTAATGTGGGCACACTTAATACCCTGCTTCCATTTAAATTTCTTGACAAACACATTTTTTCTGTGTCTCTAGGTACATTAAGCTTGGTAGGCCTTCTCAGTGGTGGCCCCTCCTCTGTTGTATTTCCTGCTGAGAGTGGGAGAGTTGCCCTCATCTGTGGCTTCTCTTAAAAGAGTTTTGAAAGCTCATTTTTCCAGCTTTCAATTAAGTTTTAATTCAATATGCTATTGGATATTTTGAATTTATTAATGTTTATTTAGGATGCTGATGGATATTTTGACTTTATATTTGATTGAAAATAGTTTTATTTAAAATTGCTTATATTTAATATGATTTTATGAATATGTTTACCTTGTTTTTATGCTGGAACCTGCCTTGGGAAAAGAGCTGTCTTGAAAAGTGTTAAGAAACTGAATGAATAAATAAATAGATACTACTTTGCAATGAATATTTAATTTACTTTTACCAAAAAGGGAAAACCTTTTCAGAAATGCCTGAAATCCTGATTTGCACTAGTGACAGCTTAATGGATGCCTGAAATGCAGTTGCATGCATGGAAGGATATCAGGATTTTGTTCTGTATCTTTAATGGTGCTGCTGTGGAGGGTATTTTTGGCAACCATAGATGGACATGCATCATGAGGAAAGCTACCTCTATCACATGGGCTTAACGGCAGGACCGAAGTGCTTTATATCCGGTTGCCCATCATAGCATTGTCACAGCACTCTGTGAACCACTTGGCGGTGGCTTCAGATCCATCTATTCTTGTCACGCCACACAAGGTAGTAGTGATACATCTTTATATGGCTACAGGTTTGTACTTTAGTTTTATCCGGTTGCTGTTTAAAGCTTTTTAAAATTTTAATGTTATGTTTTACTGTGTTCTCCTAATACATGTGTTTAGGTTTGATTTTGGGTTTTGGTATTAATTTTATCTATTATGAGACCAGGGTGCCTGAGAAGGCAGCTTCTCCCTTCCCAACCTGACCAGTCTCGATGCCAGGTCCGACTTGTTGGTTATACACTAGGCAGAACTTCACTGTGGGATTTGGGATTGCTCAAGCACAGATAATGTATAGTAGAAGCACTGGAAGGAGCACTGGGGGTTCCATGTGGACCTATGGCCTGACTGCAGTCTATGACCCTCTGGGGGTCAGGCAGGCGCCAACATGGTTTTCAGCACCCCCTGAAACGCTTTCATATCAGGAAGCTGTACTGATCTAAACAGCCACAATTTTCTTAATGTAGCTTTAACACTTTGTATTGTTGTTGTTATTATTAGTAGTGGTGGTAGTAGTAGTAATTATTGTATTGCGTTTATATCCTGTCTTTTTCTTATTTTGAGGAGTCCACGAAGGCAGAGAAAAAAAAGGAAGAGCAGATGTGATATGGGTTAATTCCGTAAAGCAGGGGTCCTCAAACTTTTTCAATGGGGGGCCAGTTGAAAGGTGGTGGCTACACACACGGAACAGTGAGGAAGGAAGGGGGGCTTGGGCACGCAGGCTGGTGAGGCATTGTCAGGTGCGTGCAAGGTGGCATTGGGCGTGCGCGTCGATAGCTCACTCGCTCGAAGATCTCCCAATGAGTGTATAAGAGCTGAGCAGAGCTGTGTAGGACTGGCTATTTTGGAGGGCACTCATTCATACGGTCACCATAGGTTGGGGATTACTTGATGGTACATAACAACAACCAGATATTGATGTTGACACAGATGCTCTTGTATATATATTAGCTGCATATTGGCCAGAAAGCTGCAAGTGATGCTATTCCTGGCATGGTGATGCATGGATAGGGCAAGCTGTACCTGTTGGATTTTGACTGTCAGGCATAGGGTATTTGTACATTAAAAGATGGCAGTAGTAACCATAGTAACTTACATGACTGTTATTTATTTATTTCATTTTTATACTGCCCAATAGCCAAGGCTCTCTTACATGCACTTATTTTTGAACAAGTCCCAATGAATGCTGTGGTGTTTACTTCTGAATAACCATGCCTAAGATTGTGCCATAACTCTTATTTTTCAGGTTTCTTTCATAATCAAATGGCTGTGTTTTGTAATTACAAAAACTTTGTTCCATCCTGTTCTCACAGAGCTCCTGAAATCATCCTTGGTTTACCCTTCTGTGAAGCAATTGACATGTGGTCGTTAGGATGTGTCATCGCAGAACTTTTCTTGGGCTGGCCTTTATATCCGGGAGCTTCAGAGTATGATCAGGTTGGTATTTTCCTTCCATATTTTTCATTGTTGTAAGCTGCCCTGGGACGTCTCCTAAAGGACGGGGTACAAATATTGTTAATAAATAAATAAAAAATGAAAAGGAAAACAACTCACAGCCTGAACTTTCAGTAAAACAGAAAGCCACTTTTGACCATGAATCTCTATGGGTACAGAGTGGTGTTGATTTATGGAAACTCTCTGGAATATCAAACCTGCAACCACACCCTCACAATTCAACAAGTGGTGCCACCCCTTCTTCCCACAAAGGACACATCCTGTGAAATGAGAAGCAAGTAAATGCTCATAAGACTTTAACCTCTTGCATTTTAACTGAAGGAGAGACAACAAGGAAGGCCCAATCAAAGGACATGATTTGATGGAGGAATGCGAAACCCTCTCCTTGGTCCCAACCAGACATTGGTGAGACTCATAAGGGAGTTTCCATTGATTATATTAATGAGTGGTCCAATTACAGTGGTCTAGACATAATGTAAATAAGACACGGGTTGCCACAGTCAAATGTGCAGTGTCAGAGTAAAATGAACATTTGGAGACAGCAGTCTGTGGATGAATCAAGACAGTTACGCCAGGCTGAACGTTCAAGAGGTATTATTGCTAAATGTAGCTACAACATAGCACAGGGAGCCCTTTTGTGACCAACGCACACTTTGCAGCCGTTCAGCAGGTGAAAAGACAGCATGGATTCCTCGTAGGCTGCCTATAATTTGGGGTCAGATGGAATTGTAAGACTGAATCTGTTTAGTTGGCAGAGAGGAAAAACTTAAGGTGGAGTATTAAGCAAGTGTATTGGTAACAATGCAGGTACAACTGTGGAGTGAGACAAGCTTTTAGGATGTTACTTGGCAAAGCAGGTATGCAGAAGAAGTGACCCTCCAAATGGTTTGGTCTTCAGCCCCCATCAGCCCTAGGCAGAATGGCCAGTAGTAAAGAACCATGAGAACTGTAGCCCCAAAATTCTGGACAGTCACAAGTTGCCCACTCCAATGTTAGAAACATCATTAGGGTTATGTTTATCCTGCCCATCCATTTGTCCCAGTTGACTTCCAGCTTCATACTCTCTTCATCAATACTATATACATTCCTCTGGCACTGCTGTTAGTTTCTGGTTTAATACCACCAACCGCACCCAATCATTAACATCTCCAGTTAAAAAATAGAAGAAGAATTAATAGGTCCCTCCAGCTCATGATCTTGGTGCAACCTGATAAACTTCAGGCATAGTGGCTGTTGCAGACTCTCCAAACTAAATGGGTATTTCCCAAAAAATTAAGTGTTGGGGCCATCCATCCATCCATCTATCTATTTATTATTTAAAACTTTTATATGCCGTCCCTTATGCATGGCATCATGGGACAGCTCACAGTCAATAAAAAGTCATAACTGTCAAACCTAAACCAATAGTTTTAGAGTTTACCTATAGACATTTTGCTTCAAGTTTTTATACATGCACTTTTGGCAGTAAGAAGAGTTAAAGGATTGTACATTTCATGTTAAACAAAGATGCCCTATACGAGGAAGTTCCTTGCATGGAAACACCTTTCTGTGTGTCTGCTTAATAGAAACATAGGAAGGTGCTTTATACCAGATTGGACTGTGTCCAGCCCAGTATTGCTTCCTTTTATTGGCCGCAACAAGCTCCCCAGGGTTTGACAGAAAGCTTTCCCCATCGCATCCTATCAATCCTTGTTTTTTCTTAACTGGAGATGCCAGGACTTGAGCCTGGAACATTCTGCATGCAGGAAGAGACACTTTGTTGCTGATCTGTGTGTGCCTCCTCTGCTTCTGTGGAAGCAGGTGCTCATTTGGGTATGCATCCCTCCCTGTTCACATTGTGATATTCATCTGGCCTCAATGAACTGGCTGGAGGCAGCTTTTGACTCCCTTGGGATGCAAACACACAGCATCCAGAGCCATCAATTGTTGCGCACAACTAGTTGGCAGTGGCTAGAAACGGATGGCAGTTGGAACATGCAGTCCCACGTTTCTCTCATTCACAAAGGACAAGAGGGGAAGATGCAACACAGCCCTCAAAATACTTTGCTCAAACAAGCCCTCTTGAAATTAACCTTTGAGGATCAAAGCCAAGGTTGTAAAAGGCTCTTTGCCTATAAAGCACACCCTCAAGGCATACATGCATTCTTCTTATACCTTTATCTTTACAGTCTTTGGATAAAGTGATGAATGTCCGCAGGCTTCAAAGGATAAAGGAAGAGTCTGATAGAGTTTAACTGTAAAAGGGAGGATAATCATGTAACACCTAGTTATTTAGATGCTTAAGCATAATAAATATTATTAATTGCTAATGTCTATGGGCTTTTGTTTTTTTTCAGTCCTCCCTTTGAGTAGAACGTTTGGTGCCTGTACGCTGTTGCTTTTTTCATTGTTCTAAGTACTTTACTCACCTATACTCCCAAAGAAACCTTGTCACAGATTCCAGCAAGATAAATGTGGACTTCCCATCATTCTCTTACAGATCCGATATATTTCACAGACGCAGGGTTTGCCAGCTGAGTATTTGTTAAGTGCAGGGACAAAAACAACAAGGTTTTTCAACAGGGATACTGATTCACCATATCCATTGTGGAGGCTAAAGGTAAGAGGCTGTTTTATCATCTCCTTTAACAGGGAAATGTTGTCTATACAATTTTCGGAAGTATATGAATCAACTGATACACATTTGTGACAGCAGCACTTGCAGCTTTTGGTTGACTTGAATGTTTGACATTTACTAACTTGCACAGTTGAATGGGATCTTCAGATCTTTGCACAATAAAATCAGAACCAAATGCATTAAAAGGACTCCATGAAGGAGCCCTGCAACAGATTACGCCTGACCTCTTTGCTAGGACTATGTTGGTAGCTTGGTTTAGCTTAGGAAAATGGTAAGTATGGGGATACATGGTAGAGTTTCATATTTATGCATGGTTTGGAGGAAGTGGAGAAGGAGACATTTTCTCCTCTTCCTTAATAAAAGAAACTGGGGTCATCCCAGGAAGGTGATTGGTGGGAGTTCCATAGAATCATAGAATAGTAGAGTTGGAAGGGGCCAACAAAGTCATCAAGTCCAATAAGAGACACCAGCTTAAAGCACCCCAACAGCTGATTGTCTAGCTGCATCCAGAATATCTTCATTGGATTCAGAGCCCACAACCACCCTGGTTAATTGCCATATTACTATAACAGGACATTTTCCCTCATGCTCAACTGAAATCTGACTTCCTGTAACATGAGCCCATTGTTCTGTGACCTTCATTCTGGGATGATGAAGAAGAGATCCTGGCCCTCTTTTCTGTGACAACCTTTGATGTACTTGAGCAATGCTGGCATTTCTCCTTTCAGTGCTTTTGTCTCCAGACTAAACATGGCCAGTTCTTCCAGTCTCTCCTCATTGGAGATATCCAGTCCCCTGATCACCTCTGTTGCCTTCCTCTGAACCTTTTCCAGTTTATCTGAATCTTTCTAAAATTGTGGTGCCTAGAAATGGATGTGGTACTCAAGATGAAGGAACAAGGTACTTCTGTATTCCTCGTAAGACAAGAATGGAAATCTTTTTCATCTGAGGGCTGCATCCATTTCTGTAGGGCCTCATGTCACAGGCAGCCATGGCCAAAGCCAGCAGTGCACACGATAAGAGCAATGTTCCCTTTCCCCATTTCACTTCCTCCCTCCCTCCCTCCCTCCCTCCCTCCCGCTAATGGGATAAGGCCTCCAGCTCAATCCAAAGGCACAGTGGTTCACATCAGCCTGCAGACTCCTGTAGGCCAGGGAATACCCAACCTTTCTCTAGGACAAGGTATTTCTGCAACTGTAGCTCTTATCTGACCAAATTTAGCAATGACTGGGATCTACTGCATGGATTTATTTCATCCATAGGAAAATTCATGTGAAATGGACTATATGCAAATGCTGGTTAACATTGTTCTGGCGCTGAGCCTAAACAGGTAACAGGATTTTTTTGAAGTGATAATTTCAGAGACCTGGATGGTTGCCAATAAATTGAATTGTTGATTTTGAACAGACACCAGATGATCATGAGGCAGAGACAGGGATCAAGTCAAAAGAAGCAAGAAAGTATATTTTCAACTGTTTGGATGATATGGCACAGGTAAGAACATAGTTGAAACAGTACACCTGCCACTACTTTTCAGGGAAAGCATGATAGCAATATGTAGTCCCTTCTCATGCAACATATTAAGGAACATTTTGGTCAGATAATAGGGGGACACACATGACTACCTCTGTCCGCAAACATTCACACAGTATGTGAGGAGATCATTGGAGGGTTCCAACTAGTTCCATGGTGCGTGCTGGCCATGCCACCTGCTACCCCTGCCCTCTGCACTATGTATGGTGTGTGGCCCTGCATTTGAGCAGGGATCTTGCGCAGACATGACAATGGGGAAAGTTGGAGTGTTGGCACTAATCACATGTAATGCTGAAACTATGTAGAGAGGAAGAGGAGCATCGCACCTACTGGCCACACCTCTTAAATGCATTTGACATAAGCTATGAGAGAGCTTAACCATGTGCAAATGTGCAGTTGAAGCCTATTGAAGGGCCTTTGATCTAGCACAAACTTTTCCCTGGATCATGTCAAATGCACATAAGGATATCTGCGTAAGGATGCACATAAGGATATGCACAGTTGTGATTCTTTGGGCTGAGGGCTTCCAGAAATGTGGATCTGTTTCTGATTCAATTTCCCTTCCAGGTGAATATGACAACAGACTTGGAAGGAAGTGATATGTTGGTGGAAAAGGCAGACCGGCGGGAATTCATAGATTTGTTAAAGAAGATGCTGACGATAGACGCAGATAAGAGGATAACACCGATTGAAACACTCAACCATCCATTTGTCACCATGACGCACTTGCTTGATTTCCCCCATAGCACCCAGTAGGCTTCTTTCATTCTAATTGGGTTAAAGCTCCTGAAAAGGGCATAAACCATGGGGGGTGGGGTTGGCAGACAGCTAGAGGAACCATGGTGCTGATAAACATTCCTGCCCTAAAGGGTTTGAAATTGAGCTGCAGACTAGCAGAGTGGTTACCAGCAGACCCTGTACACCAGGAAAGCAATTTTTATGGCATGAACATTTTGCTAAGATTGCTCGGCAGCTTGCTGATGTGATCTGAGTAGCTTAGGGTTTGATAGCACTGAGACATTATTCAAACAAAGTGTCTCCAGTGTTTTGCTCCAGCATTTTTCTCCTGGTCCTTGGCTGCTGTGGGCCATAGGATTTCATTTGCACCCAGTAATATGTGTGAGTGTTGGGTAAGTAGATCAGTTTCTGTAACAAAAACGCAGGAATCACTTTTTCCAGATCAGTTTTAGGGCCATGAGAGAAAGTAGCTGAGGATAATCTAGGAATCATTTTCAATGTGGGTTTTCTAAGGTTGAAATCAATAGTACCCCCAAAAACAGGGATGTCGCTGAAAAGAGCAGCCACAAATTTTGATGCCCCTCCTTAATAATGTTTAATACAATTTAACTTGTGCTGTGATGTTGTGCATGGAATTGTTTGCTTATTCCTGTGTGCCCCGCATCACTGCCTGCCTCTGGTGGGAACAAGCAAGGAAACACACCCCATCGTTATATCTCAGCACAAGGAGAACAGGAGGTGGAAGAGACACAGGGCCACCAATTTTAGCAGGAGTTGGGTGCTTTCAAGTACTGCACTGTACAAAGTGACTGGGTGAACATCTATGATGAGTTGCTGAGTTTATTGGAATCCCACTGGAATATGAGCAGTTGAGCTTCTTTACCCTGGAGGCTTTTTCAGGCTGATTTTTTTTCTTGCAGTAATGTTGTTGGTTTCATTTAGGTTTTCCTTTTAAATTAAAAACAAAACACATTTTGAATATAAAGCTGCTCATGCATGACATTCAAAGAGTTGTAAAATTACAATCATTATAGAAGAGCTTGATTGCTACAAATGAAGGTGCAAACAATTGTAAAGAGTTACTGTTAAGTCTCATTGTTACAAGAATTGTGAATGCAGCAGAGATATAGCAGGAACCCATAGTGTGTTTTAGGGGAAAAGCAGTAGCATTCCCAAATGGTTTAAATGCACTAAGGTTTGGATTCAAGGTTGGATTGTGGTCTTAATAGGGGTCATAGGAACCTAAGAGCCATGCTGGATCAGATCACAAGTTCATCTGGTCCAGCCCTCTGGTCCCACAGTAGTCAATCAGTACAGGATCCTAAAAGCAGGGTATGAGTATGACAGGAAGGAACAGTCTGAGATTGCAAAAGGAACAGTCTGCGATTGCAAAAGGATAAAATAGGGATTCTAGATAAACAGACTATTTGCATAATCGATGTAGCGATAACTGGCAAGCCTTCCCCTTTAAGCCTCCAGACAAATCAGAACTACATATTTGCATCTGTTTTATACTAGCTTAACTTCTATAGTGGCCTTCAAAGAATCCTGAAACTGTAGTTTGGTGAGGTTACTGGAGATAAGAAGCCGTAGGGTATAATTCTGTGTATGTTCAGACAGGAAAAAGTCCTACAACACACATAAGAATAAGATTGCACTTTCAGCTACCTTTTCGTGCTCTTGACAAAAATTGCTGTTCTGAGGGTTCTCTGGGAAGAAGTAGCATCTATCAAATTGTTTTAAGTTTCTAGTGTAGTCGTGATGCTAATGATGAAATGGGCAGCATGCTTGAATTTTTCCAATAAGCTGACTTAACTATAGCTTCCTTGCTTCTTATGCCCCCTTTCTCTAAAACAGTGTCAAGTCCTGTTTCCAAAACATGGAGATTTGCAAGCGACGGGTGAACATGTACGATACAGTGAATCAGAGCAAGACACCATTCATCACCCATGTGGCCCCAAGCACATCAACCAATCTAACCATGACCTTCAACAACCAGCTCAATACGGTCCATAACCAGGTGAGGGGAACCATTATTATGCAGTCTGAAAGGAGTGCATAACTGCATATTTGCAAGCTTGATCAGCTGTCCTTGACAATTCACAAGCACAACTCCTTCAGGTCTGTTATTTAACCACCTGTTTCCATGTTTCTGACAGGTTTAATATGGCAAACTCTTATCAGTAGAAAGAGCTATGAATATCTTTCACTCCTGAGTTCATAGGATGTTGTATTTGATGCAGACTCTAGGAGCATGAACATCTCAATTTTCATTTGTTTGTTGAAACATTTTTCATTTAAAAAAGGCAAGTTGCCAGCCCTCAGGACTGAGAGGAAACATTTGACCAATCGCACACATCCCCCCGCCCCCCCCCCCATGCTCACATTTACAATATGCACAAGCATATTCCATTCATTCTTTTCTCACTTCCATCCATTCACAGACAAGTTAGGTCCCCACCAGATAGTAGGAGAAACTCTCATTTGCTTTAATGGGACAGGTTTTTTTTCCCCTCCCAATGTAAATTGCACTTTAGAAACATTGAAACAGAGCGAGTCAGAAGGGGCCTCCTGGGCCATCTAATCTGATTCCCGTCTCCAGCTGGCTCTGCTCACGACATGCCTACTGTGTTCATGGCATATCTACCATGTCACTTTCTGGGGGCCTGATCTGGATTGAGAGCCCAGCGTAGCAGGCTGAAGGGCTTTGCCCCCCATTACAGTCATAATAAGGATTTGGCCCACACCTGCAGTTTGCACTGGTGAAAATGCATTCCATTCATGCCAGTGGGAAGCAGTGGCTAGTGGTTCCAATTTCAGTGGGGCAGTGTCCCTACTGCAGGTTTCAGCATGAAATTCAATGGAGTAATCCATGGAACTCAGTTTTCAGAGGGGAGGGATTCATCACCTTGAATAATGCCTTAATGGTTCAATCTGGAACCTGAAGTAGATACACTGTTCCATCAGCCTTGGGACTCCAAATCTTCACTGCTAACAGGAGCTTTTTCCTCAGTGCAAATAGCAGATACAAGCAGACTGATCAGGATTGGAAGTACAGTGGGGACAAAGGATGAAAGGATGAAGGTCCAAACCAAAAAGCCTGCAAATTGGTATTTTTTCTGTGTTGGCTAGAGATGTAAAGAAGCCCTTCAAGAACTATGGGTGTTGTCCCCTTCTTTCCCTCTTTTCTTTGACGATGCTAGTTTTCTGTAGGCAGTGTATTCTTAAAAGCACTCACTTGCATTCTGAAGAGGGCTAGTTCTGAATGTACAGATCAGATCTGTGTGTAAGGCATGCACTGTCCTCTACTGTCGACTTCTGTAGTGGCTGGGGTTTGTTTCACTGCTGCTGGAACTATCAGTTCTGTACTCCTGGTTTAGTTCTTGCATTGGGTAAAGTGCAGCAGAGAACACTGAAGTGGCACACTCCCTGTCCAAAAGCCTTGGCATTTAGGTAAGATAGGGCTTGATAAAGGAGCAGGTGACTCCATTGGCTACATTTGAGTTGTATTTTTAAAGCATTTTGCTTGACATACTCTGGGAAAGAATGTTTTAGAAGGGAGGGAGAGGGAGTAATTTAGCATACATGCAATTCCTGTAAAAGAAATATGTGGATGCTTGAAGTTAGGAAGGTGAATCATAACCCAGTGGGTATGCAAAATTTTGCTTGCAAAAGTTCCCAAGTTCTAGCCCTTGACAGTTCTGGCCAAGAGCATAACATTGCTGGGAGATAACATTTTCCATAGCAGAGGCTGGTGACTTCTATGACACTGGGATTCCTCATCGATTGCAACTTTCACATTGAGAGTCATAGGATCAATCCAGGGTTCTGAATCCCAATAGCTTTACTCCAAGCCTCCATGTAGTAAAGCCTCCAAAATAGCTTTACTACATGGAGGACCACGGAAAACTCCTATAATGGAATGGGGTGGGATGGGGCTGCAAGGATACCATGTATCCTGATGATGCGTTAAGTTCCTTCCTACTGCATCTGAAGCAGGGCAGCTAGATGGCTGAAACTGACCATGTAGCTGACTTGTAGGGAGGTGGAGATGACCTCGACTGCTGCTTCTGTCCTGGTTGCTTGTAATACTCTGAGTTCAGAAGCTTATGGCCATCAATCCCTACTCAATTGGACTTAGATTGTTTTTTTTAAGGGAAGTCATGTTTAAGCATCTTCCATTTTCCTCTCATTAGATGTTCATAGTTTGAAAGAGTCATAATCCAAAGTTTGAGCAAAGTAGGGTTGCTTGAATTAAAAGAATTCTATCAAACCAGAAACATCCATACAAGAAATCAGAATCATAGAAAATGCTCTGTTCATAAGGTATAGCATTTGTACATGCTTACAAATACCCTGCCATCAAAGAATATCTTTCACATGTGATATTAGGACCATATAGATGCACGGAATTTAGATCACACAGTTGGAACCAGGCTACATACTGGCAGGTAACTCAGCCATATGAGCCAAGCTTTAAACTTCAGGAACCATTTATACATTTTTCAGATATACAGTCCTGAGAGTTCACCTCTACAAGCAGGCCTCAATGTGTACAGACACTCATGCTATTTCACCACAGGACAGGGAATTCACGTATACCCTCTTTGTCACATGTGGACTGGCAAGAAACACCCGTCCATCCTCCCTCCCTCCCTCCCTCCCTCACACACACTCTTGCTCTCTCACTTGTTCTTGCTCTGTTTTCTGGTCAGTTTTCAGCTATGAGCAGAACAGTGGGATGTGTCCCCCACCTCATGACTCATCCTTAACCACCTCCTTTTTTCTTGCATGCCTTCTGTTCTTCTTGCAGTTCTTTCCTGACATTTTTGTTTTCCTTTTAAAAAGTTTGCTTATTTTTAAAGATAATTTCTTTAAAAAACACTCAATTTTTTGCAACATTATCATCTCCTTCATATTTTGTTTTTATTTTACTTTAAATCCCACCATTCCTTTAGGCCACCACCCTGGCTTCCACCTCCACCACCAGTGCCACTATTTCCTTAGCCAATCCTGAGGTCTCCATACTAAACTACCAATCTGCACTCTACCAGCCCTCGGCAGCATCCATGGCTGCAGTGGCCCAGAGGAGTGTGCCCCTGCAGACTGGAACAGCGCAGATATGTGCCCGACCGGACCCCTTCCAGCAAGCCCTCATTGTATGTCCTCCAGGCTTTCAAGGTAAGTGCTGCAACTTCTCCAGTATATTCCGCTTTTCCTTGGTTGTATTTTTTCTCCCTGGGAGACTCTTGTTGCTAGGATGGAGCTGGTGCCTCTCTCTGATGTGGCCCTAGCATTACAAGTGACTTCACAGAGCCACATTTGGAAGGGTGTGCATCTTAAAATGACTAAACAATTCCAGGTAGACCTTCAGGTGCCTCAACAAGGGAAGGGCCATGGTTCATTAGCTGAGCACCTGCTTTGCACACCAGAGCTCACAGCAAGTTGGGCAGCTAAGTAAACATAAACCCTGCACTTGAGGGTCTTATGGGGACCAGCTGCTGCAAATTGTCAACAATTTGTGGGGAGAATCTACGGGGGCCCTGGACTTTGTTCTCAAGGACCAGCCCTAGCTGCTCCACTGTCCCTGGCATCTCCACTTAAAAATGTCAAGTAGCAGGTGATGGAAAAGTTGTTTTCCTGGAACCCTGGAAAGCATCTGGATGAGTCTTTGGCTCAGTGCAGCAGGCCATTTCTTACCTTCATTGAGAATTACACCAGAAGCCAGTGGGAGGCAAAGGATAACCCCTGACACAGTGGCATGTGAACTGCCTAGGGAGCTTTGTGTATTGGTTGCTATAGAAATGTTAATAGCAACAGCAGTATATGTTCCTGGTGATTTACCCTCCATCTGGAGGCAAGGGCTCCACACTCTTGATGCTCTACAGCTTCTGAAATGTCTTTTGTGGAAGTCACATTGACTGCGTGACAATGATCTCACAGCCTGAGTGTTGCAGAGGCATACATTACTGCAGTGCCGAGTAGACCATCAGTCTGGGTCAAGGCTAAATGAGATTGGTATCTCCTGGAATATTCATTAACAGACATTTTGCTCGCTAATGCTGAGGTTAAGAAATATCCTCTTGCAAATCCTTAGCACAGATAATTTGGTAGTGTTATTTTAGGCATGGCCATAGCAGAAGGACATCGGTCTGACAACGGATGGAGAATGTACTACTGTGACTAATTTATTCATGGTCCCCATTAGGAGAAACCACATCTTATTTTGGCACACCCACAAAGGAGCAGAATAATTAACCAGTTTCAAGGTTAAGCCTCCAAGGCTGCAGTCCCGATCATACTTTCTTGGGAGTAAATCCCATAAGTGTAGTGAAGTTTACTTCTGAGATCACACGTATAGGACTGCCCTGAAAGTTCGCAAGACATGACTTGGCAAATCAAAGCCTTGCCTAGGACGTAAAATTTCTTTCAATTCGTTGGAATAGCTGCACCAAAGTACTGCCAGGCGGTGCATTCCAAAGCTATTGACATATTTCAAATGAGGGTTCATGCCAGCCTTCCCAGCATGGTGCCCTCCAGCCTGGAAGTGCTGTACTACAACTCCCATCATTCCAACTCCCAGCCACCGTAACTGAGGAAAGCTCAGTTATATATATATAAAGGCACTGGAGTAAGATTACAACACACTGTGGCCTTTGTCAGTCTTCTAGAGGTGAGGGTGGTTTGGTAGTACTTGGGGCCAGGACACTAAAGAGCAATGCCCTTTGCTGGTTTCTGCTTGTGATTCTTACCCCAGAGCAGTGCTTGCCTCCTCACATCCAGGTCGAGCTGCCACCTGGCTGCCTCTCTCTCTCATTTTTATCCAAAGATATTAAAGTCCTTTGCAGATATTGATGTCTCAGCATGCCGCTGTGCAGCAGACGCTTTATCCTTTTTATGCAGGGTTAAAATAACATAAAAGAGCTCGAGGGTGAAATCCTGAAAAGTCCCCTGAGTCTTATTTACAAAAGCTACAAAAGGCGTTTGACTATTTTGGGCAAATTTTTATCCTCAATGATTCCTTCAGCTCAAAAGGCACCAAGTGAGCCGGGCGGCTACAAAGGGTGACAGTCTGCTGGTGTCTTAATTTCTACCCTGGCTTTTAGCAACAGACTGTGCTTCCATGGGGAGACTAGAGGTCTATTTTTCAGCTGCTGTGTTGAGTAAATGTGTTGGGAAATGGTGCTACGGATTTATTTACTCAAGTTTGATTTCTACTCCACCCATTTCCAGCAGCTCAGGGAGGCTAACAACCACTAGAAACAGAAACAAAACACATGCATATATAAAAACAGATATATAATTTCCTCTCTTTTCAAGACCAAACTATACATGATACCAAATGTGCCGTTAGAAACTAAACCGGGCTTTAGAAATATTTAATAATAGCCATGCAAGGGTATGGGCAGCAGGTGCTGATTTTCATCCGGAATGCAGCACCTGGGAAGGGAAGGTTTAACTCTTCTCTCCCCAGCTGCAATCCAGTGACAATTGAGCTTGATTTCCCTGCTAAGTGCTTGTGGGTTGTTGATCTAGAAAAGTTGTATGTACTTGTTGGCACAAAAGAGGACCTTGCACATAAAATGCTTTATTTGAAGGTCCCACTGCAGCTACTTGTACTGCTGAAGAGGCAAGGTGCTTTGCAGGTTACACATAAAATTTTGCATTGAAAATTGGAAACTTCTTTCAAAAAGTGATGGAAGAATCAAATGAACCTCTGGCATTTCTTTTTTTTATTGTCACTATGGTCTCAAAGTTGGCCTGAAAGAGTAACAAGAAACTACATATGGCCCCTGTATCATACTCTCAAGATCCTCCAGGGTAGTTCAAATGCACAGAAAGGGCTTAGACAATTACACTACTTAATGGTCTTCCATGCTGTTAGGGACTTTTGAAAGTGGTGCACTTGCTTTAATTGGCAAAGCTTCCTTTTTGCTTGTTTTATTTTTAAGGACTTATACTCGACCATTTTGCAAGTTCCCAGGGCAACTTACAAAATGTTGCCCTGAATGAAACAAATTAACTTAAAATCCCATATTACAGTATAGAAGAGCATAGTGTAAAAGAGGTCAGCCAAAAAAAATTGGCCTGAAAATAATTTCTAGAGGAGTAAAAATCTAGGAAATAGAAAAGGTATTTTCCTGATGCCAAAATGACCACCAAGTTAGCTTCTCCCTAGGGAGAGCAATCCATAGTAGGATTTCCCCCATCACAGGGGTCCTTCCTTTTCCACCAAGAGCAACCATCAGATACTAGGAGCAGAACAAGGACCTCTGTCAGCGGATTGAGGTACAGTCTACAGGAATGTACAGTCTACATTTAAGAGATGTTGAGAACTGATCGAACAGGTCCAGCTTTGCTCAGTATTGGACAGGGTACACAAACAGTATCCCCAGTCTGTGTTAAAAGCAATGGTGAGACACTGGGGGGGGGGGGGGGGGAATCAGTGGAGAGCAATAAGACAGATGAACAGAAAGAGAATATTAAAGAGGTTTGACACACTTCTTTGTGATTAAGGGAGCAATCAGTCTCACCGGGCAATGAAATGAGGAAAGAGTCATGTTTAGATGCCAGGTATGGATTTAACGGAATGGAAAGCTTGCTTATATTAAGACTTGTTGACCAAGGAAGAGTTGTGTGGGAAAGTTGTAGAATCTCAATCACTGAATCTTTTAAGAAGCATTTTGGGTGATACTTTGCCTAAATTAAAGCAAACATTATCGCAGTTGTGCTTAGTATTTAGGGTTCCTGTTCCTAGAGGAACAGATCTCGTATGCTTTACCTTTTCTTTTTATTGCATAGGCTTACAAACTTCCCCTTCAAAGCATGCTGGTTATTCTGTGCGGATGGAGAATGCTGTTCCAATAGTCACTCAAGCTCCAGGTGCTCAGCCCCTTCAGATCCAACCAGGACTGTTAGCACAGGTAAATATGACTTCTCCCGGATCCATCTTGGGCAGCTGTCAGCTATAATATAAAACACTGTGGACAGAAGTCTTTCTCCGTTTAATAAATAGGGGAGTGGCCATGAATGTCAGTGCTAATATGGATTTTGAACTTTAGTATATGCACAGTGTAATCATTTTTATCTCCTTAGCTTTTAGTGCAATAGAGAAGGAATTGATAAGATCATAATCTTTCCTTGGCACCTACTATCTGTTGTACCCCATGTAATAACTGTATTTTTTACTACCAGTGGGAATAACATCAGATCCAAGTGAGGGCATCCAGCAACCTCCATCTTCTTTTCTTTTTATAAGAATGCCTGTGAGCCACATGTGGGGCACAGAGACCATCTTAGGAAATTAAAATGGAGGGCAGCTACAGGCTGATGCTTTCATCTGCTGTGTGCCCATTTTATGGAGGTGCCCCCAAGAGAGTTTCTTAAATGCTTAAATATGCCCATGGCCCAAAAGGGTTGCCCAAGGGTCTCTCATGTGGTTTCATAAAACTCTGCTACTTCCATTTTTCTGTCCCAAAATCTATGTCAAAAAGTGGGTGCTGTGGATCAGTTAGTTGCTTTGTATCGTGTTTCTGTTGTATTTAGAAAGATAAAAATATATTGATAATTAGAATGGTGATTATAATGGCATTGTTATACACAGTGCTTCACTTAGTTTGCAAAAACAAAAATAGGCTGCAGACCAACAGTTTGATGCAGTATAAAGCAGCTTCATAAGCATAGATTTCTTGGGGCATTCAGCCATACCAAAATTATGGCATGTGTCTCCAAATACCTAGGAATTTGGGTCATCGCATTATACGATCCAGGTCATATTCCAGACAAAATTAATTTGCACCAACGTGTAAGAGCAAATCTAGTGTATATGCTAGAGCATTCCAGTATTCTCAGGCATCAGCAGCCTCCCCGATCCTGCCAAAGCATTGCCTTGCCTGGATAGCATTCCAGTGTGTGTTAGTTCAGTCGTTTTCCTTTTGCCAGTTGCCAGCGCAGCTTATCTAGGAAAGACAGTATGGAACAGAAGTTGAAGCTTGCATGGTTTTCTTTTCATTAACTAAGTGTTGCCTCCTCTGCCCACGAAGAGCCTTTGTCAAAGAGCTTCCTCTTTGACATGAACGACATCCCCCTCCACAAAAGCATGCCATCCCTTTCCAAGTGGTACTGCTGTAGAAAACTGCCCTCCTCAGTTAAACACAAATAAATAAATAAAACCAAAGCACTGAAAAGAAGGGCAAGAAAGGGGGAGATTTTCTTCAAAGCCAAAAGGAAGAAAGGAAACTTTTTGTAAATACCAGTATGTAAAATATTTGGACAGAAGTGCCATGTGAGTTGAGTTGAATAGCCTGGGCATGAGCATAGTAATTATGGACATTTTCAAAACATCGATTCAAAACATATTATATATTTCTCAGCTGGTTCTAGTACATTTGGTATCTCGGTAAAAGCCAAAAATCACAGTGCAGATCTAAGTGCTTACAATGTAAAGCACTAGCGGAGACAGTTCATGTAGTAATTTGATTACCTAAACAGTGGTAAAGAAAACTGAAGTGCAAGCAAACCTGGGGATATAAATATTTTACAGCCTGGAGGAGCTAAAAAATCCTGCATTTTAGACACATTTGTGAAGAACTATTCCTCTGGTCACCTGGGACAGATAGCAGCTTCGAGAAAGGTAGCTTTGTTAATCTCTCACTGCAAAAAACAACCAGAAGCCTTCTGGGACCTTAAAAGGCTTACAAGTTTGTGCTGTAGCATAAGCATTTGTCAGTAGTTGTACATTTGATGAAGTAGATTCTGTGCTACTATAGAAATCTGTTAAGTTTTTTAAAGTACCCTAGTCTCTTGGCTGTTTTTATGGCAAGTGTGTAGTGGTAAATTTTGAAGGGCCACCATAATAGCCCCATTACATGTGCCCAAGGAGAGTCCAGAAGTGCAGGCAAATGTGTAGGTCTGCACATTTACCTACAGTACTTCTAGTTCTTTTTTGTGTTCTCAGCATCACACATATGGACTCTGCCCCTGCGTGGATGTGTTGGGCCACATCAACCAACCAGTTTTCATCTCTATGAGAAACAAGTCTTTTGTTAAAACTAATGGTTCTTAATGATCATTCAGGACTGAGCGATCCTCAAAAAGGTTAGATTACAAAAGGTTACAATATATCATTGCTGGGAAAATACATTTCAGCTCCACTCCCAATGGAGTCTCCAAAGCTACTGTGAGGATTGTAGCCAATCTCAGAGGGAACATGGAGTTCTAAGGGGGTAGACTATGACATGAGAGCTTCTGTGAATTAAAAAAGGGCTACTACTTCCTCCCTGTGAGCCCTGTTTTCACCACACTGCTGGGTGTACATCACTTCTAGGTAACCAGCCTCAGAAGCTTCTGCCAACTTATTTATTTCATTTTAATGTTGCTCATTATAAGGCTCAAGACATCGTTATCCTTTGCAAAAAGTAGAATAGAAGCTTGAAATAAATAAATTAAAAGTTGATTCTCTGGAAAATTATGTTTGCAATCCTGCGCTTTATTATCTGGGAGTAAGTTTCACTGAACACAATGGGGCCTAGATATCTGAGTAGATGCACAGGATTGCTCTGTAGCATGACACAATTTCTAATGAATGTATTTATGAGACAGTAAACAGCATGGCTTCAGGAAAGATCAGTGACTGTTCTCTCAATGCTCACCCTGATTATAAGCATTCAATGCAGATGGGGATGGGGGGGCAGCAGGAGCTATCTCTGCCTCTCTGCAACTCCTGCTTTGCATTTCAGCTGGATGGCTGATTTCAGCCGTCTAGCTGAGGTGCTCCAGAAAGAGGGTGAAGGAGGTTGAAGCGCCATCAGGATGTATCCTATCCAGACAGAAGTGGTCTCCTCCCCACCCCCTGAAAGCAACCCATACGCCCTCTTCAAATTTCCTGACCTCACAGAGCCAGCTTTCCCTGTTCTTTCCCTGATCACTGCACAGATCTTGAGTTCCAGAGGTGGATCTCTGTCCTTGTACTCAGGCCTTGGAACCCAAGACACTGTCTAGGTAGCCATAAGGTCACTGTCTCAATAATTTCTCTGGATACAGTTGTGAGGTTGCAGTTCCTAGAATGTGCACAGCAAGGCTGATTTCTGTCTTTGAGACATACTCCACTGAATTGGGCTGTGCAGCCTCCATTAATTTTCATGAAGGCCTTAGTAGATTGCTCCCTGATAGTGCAGTCCTTAGCACTAAGCACTAATGTGAGTCAGAGCCCACTATGGCAGAACCCCAGCACATATTTTCAACTGCTATAGCTCCATTTTTGCACATGCAGGAAGCAATAATGGAAAAAATGCAGTGCCCTTGAATGTGCAGAAACTTTCAGGGGTACCATAACTGAGTAGCAAAGCATTATTATTGGATGTTGACTGCAACAACGACGATGATGATGATGGATGCCTGCCTCCACTTTGCAAAACATTTGAATATCTAGCAAATGGAAAAAAAGATCATAACAAGGAAGAATACAGAATCTTACATTTAGACAATAATAAAAGGAGTACTGTAGTAGAAATAACAAAATACATAAATCCATTAGATTAAAACCAGCAAGATTATGCACTGGACATCTGGCCAAATCAAAATGTCTTTTTGCCTGGTTCCAGAAGGACAGCAGATTCCATTCCAGGCAAGCTTCCCTAGGGTGGGCATTCCATAGGTGGGATGTCATGACTGAATAGAGTCTGCTTCTGATCACCCTCTGCTGCATCCCACTTGATCAATATTTAGAAGCACTCTGACTCAGTCACCAGTATTTTTGGTTAAAAGGATCCCATACTGTAGTGCTAGGGAAGACTCTATACTCTGCCTAAGATCTTGGAGAGTAGCTGCCCACCAAATGAACAGCCCTGTGCTAGATGGACCAACATTCTGATCCAGGGATATCACAAGGAACCTAGTAAGGGTGCTTGCAACAGCGAACACCCTGTACAATCACTCACAAGTAGGGTTTAGCTGAGCAGCAGAGCCAAGCCTACCATTAGGAAAAGTGGAGCACTTGTCTCAAGCTGCAGGTGGCGCAATGTTGTGCAGCTTCCTGAATTCCCCAGAAAATTCCCTTGGACAACACAGCTCCCTCTGTTTGAAGAATCCGAAGGCTGAGTGTGGGTCATTGTTGAAATTTGGGTTATCATGTTGCCTGAACCAAGCCTCACTAACAAGCTGTGGAGCTTCTATGCTTTGCATCAGACCTCCCCAGTATGTCCTCCAGATATTTTAGACTTCAGCTCCCACCAGTCCCAATCAGCATGGTTAATGTTCAAGAATGTTGTGACTTGCCGTCAAAAACATGTGGATGACAGCAGCCTGGGAACAGTACATTTGTCGGCAGTGAACAGTGCATCCTCAATGGGTGCCCTCCCTCAGTGGCTGTGTTCACACATCACAAGAGGCAATTCTACGTGGTTACAATGGTTTGGGGTTTCTTCACCTTGGTATGCCTGACAGATAATCAGGCTTCTGGTAGTCAAGCTCCTTCCTGCCACCTCCTTCCCTCTTCAGGGTCGGTGTCCCAGGAGATGCTGCAGGGAGGAATGAGGCTCCTCTCTTGGACAGCTGAGATCCTGAGCCAAGTTGTGTTCACTGCAACTCCCAAACAGTCCCTGCTACATGGACAGAGGGGACTATTGGAGCAGGAGAGGCTGACCCACACTCAGGCAAAAGCAGAGGACTAGTTGGGTAGCACTGCAGAAAGGGGCAGTTCTGCTCAGCTGAATCTGCTGCCCCTGCCTGAGAAAAGCCCCTCACAGGCATCAGCCGGGGTGGGATGTGGACAAGAATCAGCTGAGTGGCAGTGCCTGGTTGGAGGCAACACCATTTCCCCTTCTTGTCCCCCTTCCTTACTCCCACAGATACCTGCAAAGTTGTGACATGCTCAAAGGCTAAGGCAGACTCAGGAACATATGAAGGTCATGTGTCAGCAAAGTCATTGCAGGACCAGAGGCAAAAGTAGAGTCAAGAACAGGTGTGGGTGAAGTGAAGGTACTGCAAGAGTAGAGGCAGAAGCCAGGTCAGTAACACAAAAGGGCTACTGCAAAGACTCTTGTTGCTGTGACAGACCTAGCAGCGCTTGGGAAGCCTCCCATAAGGCTCTCGGCTGATTGCAGGTCCTAATCCTGCAAGCATTTACAGGTCCAATGCTAACCCCGCCTTATTTCTCAAGCCACCAGAGAAAGATGCATTGCCTTCCAGATCCTGACAATAGCTGAATGAGCTACAACTGGTGCTTTGGAATTAGTTATTTGGGATTTTTCTGCTGACTTGTATTAAAGCTGTTCCATGCTGTATAATTTTGAAGGTGCTTCCAAAAAAGAAGCGAAGCCTAGTAGGAGGTTGCAGAAAATTTCCTGATTGTTCTACAGAGAACCATTTTCTGTTCTGATCCACAGCAAGCCTGGCCTAGTGGTACTCAACAGATCCTGCTCCCTCCAGCTTGGCAGCAGCTGACTGGGGTAGCTGCCCACACTTCAGTTCAACATGCAACTGTCATCCCAGAAACGATGGCTGGGACGCAGCCCCTGGCAGATTGGAGGTAAGCAGAAAGGAAATCTTGATTCTGCCTGTGAGATTCCCTCTTTGTGTGCAGCGTGGTACTCAGGCAATAGGCAGTATTCAGTGCTGTTACTGCATCTCTGCTGAGGATGCTGCAGCAGTGTAATTCCATACTGGTGCAATAGGAAGCTAGCACTTCCTAGGGCTACCCTGTAGATGAGCTGAAATGCTCAACCCAGAGTACAACAAGTGAGCAGAGCTCCCTTCTGCTGCTTTCACTGAACTGTTCCATTCTGGAAACAAGTGTTACAGTTTGTTTATTGTGGCCTCTGTGAATCACTGTGAATCTCTGTGCTGCTAGTGCCTAGTTTCAGAAATATTCTCTCAGCTATAACAGTTTTTGGCAGGAAAAACTGTTCCCCCTCCCTCTTGTATAAATGGGTGGAGTCCCTGCCCTCTCGCCAGTCTGCTTTCGACCACTGTTCGCTGTGCCTCAGGTTCTCTCTTTTTGCTATTGATTCCCTCACAAAAATGCTTTACTTCACTTATCTTTAAACTTATCTTACAATTTTATCCCAAAAACTTCACCTGTCATGGTCCAGGAATGGAATCCCTCAAAGACTGAAGTATCCAGCATCAGCAATTCTACAGAAGCATCAGAACCAGTTCCTGGTCCTTCTGAAGTGGGTTCCACTGTCTCACACCTCATATCTTTTTCACACACACACACACACACACCAGGGAGGTGGCACAACTTCTGTCTCTGAGGACTGTACTTCAGACCACAGGACACGAAGGTCCTGAGGAACAGTGCTCCCCCTTCTTGAGCCATCATTCCTTAGGAGAAGATCCCTACAGGAAAAGGCTGCTGGCTCTTCAACAGCCAGATGAAGCACCCGAAGGGATGGAGTTTCCAGAGAGACTCTCCTGGGTTGACTGCAAAAGCCTCCCGGGCTCTGTTGGAATAATTTGTTAGTTCTTCAGTACCAGAATTGCTGGGTAAGCTCCTGAACCAGACATGACTCAGCTATCTTAACCACACTGAATATCCTCACCTGAGCCTTTGCTCAGGACAGTCAGAAAATGTCCTCATGGAGCATGACAGTTTCTGGTTGCTTTGGGAAGCACTAAGCTTTCTAGTATGCTGGCAGTGGGCCATACTGGCACAAAAGCAGGATTAGATAGTGTTGGCTGTCTAATGTGGCAGGTTGTGGATATGATCTATTCCTAATTGCATGAAAGCTCTATAATTTGCCCATATAACTGTTGGATTCTGTTTTGTATGGGTTTCATCTTTTAGAACTTGAATTTAGAGGATGTTATTATTCCCTGTTTGGGGGACAAGTCTCACTCCTGATTCTTCTAGGGCTTAGTCTGCATCCCCTTGGTGTAGTGGAGCTTGTGCCATAGGCTCTTCTGATTCCTTCCTTCCTTCCTTCTTGGGTGCTTCCAAATGAGACATTTATTGTGCTATCACAGTACTTCATTCATGGAATTTTGCAGATATCTTCAGACAATGTCATTCTCAATTTGTAATTCTGCCATTTTTCCCATTGCTTCTTCCATTATTTTTCTTACCAGAGAAAAACCTATTAAAGAAGGGAGAAAAGCATAGTTGTGCAAGTCTTTTGAGTATTAGCAGTGGAAGCATTCTCTGCCTGGAATTACCCTCCATCCTAATGAACTGAACTCCAGTTACTTTCATAGTTAACACTTCCCTTTGTCTTTGTGCCATCTTGATTCACTCAGTTCTTAAGGAGCAACCAGATGCCAAAGTTGTCAGTGGACTGCATTTCAGTGTTTCAGGTCTATCCTGTATTTTTCAAGACTGTTTTGTGATGATCTCTTGTAATAAAGTGCTGTTGCACCAGATGGGCAGGGCCTTCAGAGAACTTCTACTTGAAAGTCATAGGAGGTACCCTGAAGATCTCAACAGGACTTTGCTTGTTCACACTAAACAGATCCTTTCTCTTCAGCCTAGACTACATTCCAGATTTAGACTGGTATGTCCAGTCTGTGTTGCCACATTTTTATGACAGTGCTGAAATGGTGGGAAGAACTCAGCAGAGAGAATATTGTAGTAGAGGGATGTGACGGAAGAATTAAATACACTTCCTTCATGCTCCTTTGCTGTTAAAACATATAACAACAATAAAGGAAACATGTAATAATCCTCCATATGGGATCAGAAACTGACGCTGGAGCAATTTACACATCCCCCTGCTGTAGTCAGCCACAAGCCACAGCATAGGCAGGAGCTGTGAGCAGGAAGCTTTACTAATTTTCAGCAGTCATCTTTGCTGGATGTAACTTATTTTTGTGCAAACACAATAAGAGAATCTTGGCCTTAGTTGCCAGATGATATCTTAGATAGTTCTACATTGTGCTTGTGTGGAAGCTCAATTTTAATTCCACTTCTCCCTAATTGTGGAAGAATGATGCCTCAACAGCACTGAAGTGGTATAATGTGGAGGCAATCTAATATTGATTTGTTTAGTCTGAACGTGTGCTGGTTGCTTATGCAATCCATGGCTGAAATCAAATCTGACATGCAGTAGAAATTGCACAACGCCTACTAGTCATGCACTGGGACTATTATACATAATCGTTTTTTCATGCAAGTCACCTACTGAGAAATGCATGACAATATTTAAAAAACCAACAATGTAAAATGACTTCTAAACAAAAGTTTAGGAAGCCTTTAGTTGTACTGTCATCTGCCCCCTGCCAGTCTTTGAATAAGAGCCACCATTTCATCTGGTGTACCTCTGTACCTTTGTGCCTGCTGCAAAATTACTTTTCAAAAAGAACAGCAGACTTTTCTCTTACGATCCTTTATCTTCTTGCTTTCCCACCCTATTAAATGTTTCTGAAGTGTGGTGTAGGGACAACTCTTCATCATATACCTGTGTGTTCCAAGGAAGCTTTCTACTGCTTTGTTTTTTGGGTCAATAACTTTTCATAGACTCACTAGGATAAGTGATACCTACTTACAGCTCTCTTTGAAGCCTTTGTGCCAAGATAGACAATGACATCTGCAATGGTGAAGATGGAATTCTGGCCATGTTCTGCCTTCCTCCCTTGGAATCTCTCCCATACTGCTATCTTCACTCTCTTCTCCTTTACATGTTGCCAAAATCAGTGACCCTTATGATGTGAATGGGCAACAAAGAAACTGTGGCAGGTTGAAAAGCTGCAGTGTGGCTCAATAAATAGCCTACAGTCAGATCCACTCTGGACCAATGATAGTTACAGTCAAGTCAAGTACGAATGTGGTCATGTCAGCCAAGATCCCAACTGTGAACACGTGGCCTCTGATAAGGGCAGTATAAATGATGACCATTAGAAGTGGTAGGTTTCTAGGACTCTCAAGGCCACTTCTCATATCCACTCAATAATTTTCATGAGTGATCAGCATGCATCCTCCTACAACATATGTACATGGTTTTATACGACATGAGCAATCTACTCTTTGAAGAATGTGCTCAGGTGTGAAGGAATCCATAGAGATAAATTTAGTGGTGGAAAGTTCATTAATATTTGCAAGGATGCACTTTCTTAACTATCTGTCCATCACTTGAAATGTACCCTCTGTGCCCTTTTGGCAGCTAAAATAGTCTAGAACAATGGAAAGACAAATGGCTGCCTTCAAAACTACAATGGGTTGAGGACTTGATGAAGCTTTCAGTTTTTGAATAGGGGTAATAGTTGCCAGTTAGGTGTAATTCGTAAATAGACAAGTGTGTGGATGTCTGGGCTGCCTTTCTTGAAGTCTATATGCATAACTATCCCTATGAATAGTAGTACATTTTACTATAGGGGTACATAATATTTATGTCATTGTAATAAATTCACTTAAATGATGTTTAGGAAAACTGCAGCATTTCATTTTATTGGGGCTTTGGGCTGCATCTGTGTATGCCTGTGCACCTGGTTTTTGTCTTTCTTCTCTCTCAAAAATAGGTGGAGATAGCACAAAACAATCCTATTTGCAAATGGCTCTCTGCTTAGAGTAATCATGTCGCTTATTTGCATGATGGCTCAAAGAAGGTGAAACCCACAGTTTACCAGTAATAGGTTGCATTAGTATTGTCTTTCATTTGAAAAATTATTTTCCAAATATGCAAACTGCCTTTCTTTCCTGTGTGTCTTCTTGCAGAAATACACATGCTCATGGCAGCCATTACAATCCTATCATGCAACAGCCTGCACTTTTAGCTAGTCACGTCACCCTTCCAGCAGCCCAGCCTTTAAATGTGGGGGTAGCTCATGTCATGAGGCAACAACCAACCAGCACCACCTCCTCAAGGAAGAATAAACAACACCAGTCATCAGCAAGGTATGAACTGGGGTGGAGGGGTGATGGAGGGGTGAGAGGGAGACAAGAAATGTTTTTTTTTCCTCTGCACTGTTCTGCGAATAAGCACAAAAGCTAGATCAAATGGGAGCTGCTGACCCCACTCAATTCATCAGCTTCCCCTTTTCAGAACCAAGGCATTGCAAGAAACTAAACCAAGGTATTATTGCAAGACTGGTCCCATGACAGATGTTCCAGGTTGAGCCAGAGCTTTGTTGGATTTGAGTTTCACATTCCGAAGTGCACCTCCAAACATATAACGAGCAAGGTCTTAACATTTTACATTTATATATGTGAATTGTAAAATGCAAATACAGCAAATTTACCTGGATTGGATGGGGTTCAGGACTGAATGATTCACTGTCAGACCTGCTGCCAGGGTTTGCCCTGAGGAAAACTGTTTTAGAAAACCAAGCAACAGTGTGCCTCAATTGTATGCACGTCTCCATTTTTCTCTCTCATAACTCTAAGAAAGAGTTATGAGGGAGCTTTGAAAAAGCAGGTCTTGGCTTCCATTTTAGATTAACCAGAGCTCGCCGGATAAACTGTGGTTACTTGTAACTACAGTTTGTAGAAACAACCTGGCTTCATAAACTATGGTTTAGCATTAGGACATGATGATGTCCTAATTTAGATTGATGGTGTGGTCAATCTAAAATAGAAGTGGAATCTGATCTCTTCTTAGTACCTGCACTGGAGTGTGAGGAGGAAAATCAGAGGTGTGAGAGCCCATGGTTTATTGCAGTTTCTCCTGGTAATTTTAAACCAGGGCTGAGGAAGCTTTTTCAGGCACAGGCCTCACTCACTCACCTGGGCATAATTTTCTAGGAGCTGCATGCCAATGGTAGAAATGACCAAAGCCCAAAATGGGCAGAACTGAAGCACCATTTATTTCCTTTTGTCTCCCTCACTTCTCTCACTCTTATTCTGATTCTCCTTCTGTCTCTGCCTTTTATTTCTCTCTCCCCTCCACTTTTTCTGTTTCCCCTACTCTCCCTCTCTCTCTCTTTCCCATCATATATACATGCTCTTTTCTTCACCCTTTCCCTTTCTCTCCTTTACGTTCTCTCTTCTCTTCTCTTCTCTTCTCTTCTCTTCTCTTCTCTTCTCTTC